CAAAATTTCCTAAAGTGACAAAGAAAAACGGCTACAACACTTTCAGATCTTCCTAAAGTGACAAAGAAATACCCCTCGGGAGGTTCTGCGACCGCACAATTCCATGTGCGGTCCGTAGATTTCTTCATATGTCAGGAACTGGAGGTCTACGGACGCACATTTCTAAACTGCGGCTGCGAGGCAACTCTTCTGTGATCCGCACAATTAGGACTATGGCCGCACAATTCTTGTGCGGTTCGCATTTCACAGAGGCTCCTGGACTTGGTCTTTTTGCATACTCTCTGATCTTCGACTCTTAGCCCAGCTTTGTCACCGCACAATTCATATGCGGTCTGCACTTTACGCAAATGTCTGCTAAATTCTTCTTCTTTGTTTTGCGGTCGCAAATGGTATTCTACGGTCCGTAATTTCTTCTGCGGCCGGAGAATTCTAAGGAACCGCACATTTAAGATTCTGTTCCTTTTATTGCCTTGTACTTCGGTATACTCCTTTTTGAGTCGGATTTCATCTTGGGAGATCAACTTCCATCATTCCTGCAATTTTGCACAATTTCATCAGTTTCAGGAACACAATTCAATGCTTTTAAACTAAAACAAAATCTAAAAGGCGCTAATAAGCAGTCCAAATCCCCACTTATCACGTTCTTCAACCCAAATCACATGACCTTATAACCATACGTTCCTTGGTGGGTGATGAACGTGGTTTTCTCCTGGTCCTCTTCTTCCATAAGTATCTGGTTGTAGCCTGAGTATGCGTCCAAGAAACTCAATAACTCGTGCTCGGCGTTGCGTCGATGAGTTGGTCGATGTGTGGTAGAGGGAACGAATCTTTCGGACACGCCTTATTCAAGTTTATGAAATCCACGCTCATTCGCCACTTCCCATTTTTCTTTTTGACCATCACTACGTTGGCGATACATTTGGGGTACTTCGACTCCCTGATGGAGCCATTTTCTAATAGTTTATCCACCTCCCCACGGACGGCATCGTTGATGGCGGGGTTGATTTTACGCCTAACCTGCCTTACTGGGGGTAGAACAGGTTGACGTTCAACTTGTGTGTGGCGATCTCCCTAGGGATGTCCATCATATCTGCATGGCTAAAGGCAAACAAATCTGCATTAGTTATTAAGAATTGACTAAATTTACCTGGTTCTCGGAGTTTGCAGTCGATGTAGGCCTTTTTGTTACTGTCGCTGGGGTCTAATTGAACGGAGTTGAGGTCCTCTACGGTCGAGTTCGCAGCTTCGACATTTCGGGATCTGTGATGACGTCCTTGGTCTCTTCTTGTGTAAACCTCGGCCCTGTTGATTATTATGCCTCTTTTTCCTTGTCTTTTTTCTATTGGATCATCGTGCTATCTAAGGTGATGCGGTAGCAATCCTGGGATGTATGCTATTCTCCATGTATGCTGAATGTTCCCCAAGGTGTTAGGAATTTGATTACTTAGTATAGGCTGGAGGGAACGACTCTCATAGCATATATGTCGTCCTACTATGGCGTTGTACGCGGTGGCCTGGTTCATTATGTGGAATGTCGTCTCTAGCGTCATGCCGCCGGCCAAGACGGGGAGTGTAATTTCCCCGATGTCCACTCAACTGCATTATTGAAACCGGTTAGTGTGATGCAGCTTGACACTATCTTGTCCTCGAGTCTCGTTTGGGCGAGGACCCGAGGATGGATAATGCACGCTCCACTTCCATCGTCCACCATGATACGTTTGACATCAATATCTAAAATGCGTAAAGTAATGACAAGGGCATCATTTTGAGGGAAAGTCAAACCGTCGGCATCTGACTCGTCGAAGATGATACTTTCTTCGAGTCCGTCATACCATTCGTGAGTGATAGATTGCTTGAGCTTGTGAGTGGTGGTGAATTTGACGTCGTTGATAGAGGCGCCATCACTGCCGCCGATGATCATGTGGATGGTACGAGCTGGTGATGGCGGCCTCAGCAGACCATGGCGCTCACGTCCTCTGGCAAAGTTATTTATTCCCTTCTCGCTTAGCAGCTCTTTGAGGTGTCCCTACCGCAACATGTTCACAACTTCTTGCTTGAGGGCTATGCAATCTTCTATTTTGTGCCTACGTTCTTGGTGGAACTCGTAAAGGGCGTCAAATTTTCTGGTGCTCGGATAGGATCTCATCTTTGGCGGCCACTTTACCTTCGTTCTGAGTTTTTCCAGAGCATAGACTATTTCTCCAGGTGATACGCAAAAAATTGTGGGTAGATAATAAATGGGGCATACCTATTTCATTCCGGTGAGTCCCTGGCCTCGGCTTGTGTGGGCCTTCTTCATAGCGGAGAAAAGGTGGGGCGTGGTCCCTGACATATGGCTGATGTCGCTCCCTGTTAGGTCGTGAGACCGAGTGATCCCGCTTGATGTTGTCTCTTCGTTCTTTTCTGGGTTCGGCTTGTACCAAGATGAGCCGATGGGTTGGTCCGTTGTGGTCATCCTCATCTGCTCAGACTTCGGTGCAGTAAGCATTATGGATCTCGTCCCAAGTGGTTGGGGGATATTTTATCAATCGGCTCAGCAGTTTCCTAGTCGCTCTCGAACTATCTCTACTCAGCTTGTTCTGCAAAACTGCGACTACATCCCCTCGGACACGTTCGACAGGGTCATCATTACCCTGTTAAATCGGGCGAGGAAGTCCCTCAGTCCCTTTCCTAAGGACTGTTTGACGACAAATATGTCGTTTACTCTTATTTCTGCCTTTGGCTCCGACATGCGCCGTTACGAACTTATCGGCCATTTCCTCAAAAGTTTTAATGGAATGGGCTGGTACTGTGAGTACCATGTTAATACCCCCCCCCCCCCCCCNNCGTTAGTTAACCCCTACCCCCCCCCCCCCGTAGGGTTTCCTGAACTTCTTCAGCAAAATGGACGACACATGTTCCCTGGTGAGGTCGTTGCCTTTCACGGCGGTGACGTAATGAGTCACATGATCTTCGGGATCGGTCGTTCCGTCGCATATCTTGAGGTAGGGCGGCATTTTGAAGGTCTTCGGTATGCCATGCGGGGCCGCTTCTTCGTTGTACAGTTGTTCTACTGACCTGTCGGCGTCCCTCTTCGGCAATAGCTTAGGCGCCCCCGGTATCTTGTTGACTCATTCTTGGTGTTCCTTCATTTGATCCCTGAGTGCTTTGTTTTCGTTCTCCATTTCTTCCATCCTTCTTAGAACAACGACGAGGGCGCTGTCACTTGCATGGTTAGTAACGTTGTGAATTATACCTGGTGTTAGAGCAACTAGTCGGTCACCCTGTTCGTCTGCTCGTTGCATTGTGTAGGTTCTTGCAGCCGTGCATCGAGTGGGCTTGTTGAGCATGCTCACTAGCGTATCAGTTAGCCATGCTTCGAGGAGCTTTTTCACGACTAGTGGCGCCCCTTCTTCTATAGACGTCGAGGCCCCTTTCCATTAGATTTTGTTGTGCTACGATGGGGAGGGGGGCGATCTCTCGTGCCTGGGGGAGGCAGCGGGTGTCACGTCCTCACCTAATATCTCACAGCTCTCGTTGATAGCGTTCATGAGGTTGCTGGGGAGGTTAGCTGTTACTTTAGTCCTCTCTCCTTGGGTACCTTCCATGTGGGTTTTTGTTCGTACGGAGAAAGAGAAAGATCTTGGGGTTTGTGGGGTTAGTGACTCACCTTAGCTATAGATCTAAAGGAAACTAAAAAATTAATTAAGAAATTCCCACAGACGGCGCCAAACTGTTTGACCAAAAATTAGTGATTTTGGCTCAACCAACAAGACTTATATAAAGTGAAGTTAATCTTAATAAAAAATAATATCCAGAAATAGAATTACGTGTATCAAAGCCACATAACTAATATATTCTATCTGGATGGTAGTGAATATGAGCAGTGATGATAATATCCAATGATCCAAAAAGAAAGAATAAGACGTTAAATAGTAATAAATAGCAATAAATGGCATTTAAGTAATAGAACGTGTGAGTCACCCGAAAAGAGATGGGATCAGTGATTATTCCTTCTGACAATGACGAATGATTGATACGCCTTTGGACACTTGGGTCGTTCTTGGATCCGGTGGAAATGCTAGACAAGAATCTTAATGAAAATGTTGTTTTTGTATATATGCGATAATATTTGATTCTCTTAACAAAGTCAGTATGTTCTTTACAAATGAATATCTCATGTCCCCTATCATTGTGCCTCCTTCTATTTATAGAGAACATGTTCTTAGAAACTCTAATAGTGCAAGTGTAGAAAATATCCACTAGAATATTCCCTTTAATATTCCTATCTTGAAACTAGCCGTTACATCTCTGTCAAGGGTGTTCGACTTCGACCTCGATCTTTGATGACTCCTCGACCTTAATCCTTGCTGACTCTTCGACCGCATCCTTCATTGTTTCTTGAACCGCTTCGACACATGACGGCCTATGAATGTTTCATGACTTAAGCTTTTTAGGGATGAGTCTTGACTCATACAATAATCATAATGAATTAACATAACTTGTTGGATGCACTAGGTCGGATAAAATGTATTTTCCAGCCAAAATTCATCCGCTTATTTATTACTATATCAAATATCCAACGTTAACGCTTAACGCTATATCAAATACATTACACATCATTGATAATTTTATAGTTATATGAAAATATCCATAGATCTTTAACTTCTTTTTGTAGCACATGCAAACAATTCAATTTATACTTGGATTTTACATAGCAAATTTAATCTTTATCGAATGATGATGGAAACTTTTATTAAATTAAGTTTAGTTTAATCGACTTCTACGAGTAACGCATCATCTTTTCTAAGTTACCAATTCAAGTTTAAGTGCACGCTTGATAAATTTTACTGCTGTAATTATACAAATATATTTTTTAATGTATAAAAAATACTACTTTATACATTGAAACATCATAAAATCACTGAAAATACTTTAATATTAATATCGTGTGCATCTTCATTCAAATTATGCGAGACAGCCAAAAGAAAAAGAAAAAAAAAATTAAGATTAGCTGCACAATAGATATTTCCCGTTCTTTAGTCATCACCTCAGTGCCGTCGCCTTCCCCTTTCTACTAACAGAACACATCAAACATGTTTTTCTGAAGTTTCCTCTCTTTCGCTCAATACAACAATACTATCTCATTTCTTCCACACGAAAATGTTATCTCTGCAGCCACTCTCTAACCCTAAACCCTCCTCTCTCTACTCTTCCTCTTTTACCCCTCCCAATTCCCTTTCCCCCAAAACCCTAAAACCCATTCCCACTCCCAAACCTTCTAGAAACTTCTATCCTTCCATCCATTCCATCCTCCAGTACAACCGCAAGCCTCAGCTCGCCGGAGAAACCCCGAGAGTTGTCGTCATTACCTCCGGAAAAGGCGGCGTCGGTAAGACCACTACCACCGCCAATATCGGCCTTTCCTTAGCTCGTCTAGGCTTCTCCGTAGTGGCCATTGATTGCGATGTGGGTCTCCGTAACCTTGACCTCCTTTTAGGGCTGGAAAACCGGGTCAATTACACCGTTGTGGAGGTTCTCAATGGCGATTGCCGTCTCGATCAGGCCCTTGTTCGTGACAAGCGTTGGTCCAATTTTGAACTGTTATGTATTTCCAAGCCCAGATCCAAATTGCCTATTGGGTTTGGCGGGAAAGCCTTGGTTTGGCTTGTGGACGCCTTAAAAGCCCGTGACGAAGGTGCACCCGATTTCATTATCATTGATTGTCCAGCTGGTATTGATGCTGGGTTTATAACAGCTATTACTCCGGCAAATGAAGCTGTTTTAGTGACAACGCCAGATATTACAAGCTTAAGGGATGCTGATAGAGTGACTGGATTGTTGGAATGTGATGGAATAAGGGATATTAAGATGATGGTGAATAGGGTTCGGACGGATATGATAAAAGGGGAAGATATGATGTCTGTATTGGATGTGCAGGAAATGTTGGGGCTTCCTTTATTAGGTGTGATTCCTGAGGATTCGGAGGTTATTAGAAGTACTAATAGAGGTTATCCTCTGGTGTTGAATAAGCCGCCAGCTTTGGCAGGTTTGGCATTTGAGCAAGCAGCATGGAGGTTGGTTGAGCAGGATAGTATGGAGGCTGTAATGGTGGAGGAGGAGCCTAAGAAACGCGGGTTCTTCTCATTTTTCGGGCGGTAGCTGGATGTTTATACTTTTTTAAGTAGTGGCTTTGGTGAGGTTTCTGTATTTGTTTGGTTGTGTTTTTGGAAGGTCCTATGGAGCAAGAAAACTGTGTATAGTAGAGAGTTGAGGTTTGCATTCTTCCTTGTGACTATTTCAGGATTCTATGTTGGATAGTCAAACATTAGTGCAGTTATTAGGAATTTGTACTTTTTGTTTTGGATTTGAGCTGAACACTGTATCATGCCCGTTTGCACGAAATATGAACTTTTTTCTCCACCAATCTAGTTTGAGTTACTGTATTATGTATCCCTACCTAAGTTTGGCTGCTCTCTGTGTAAGTCCAGCCTGTGATCTCCACTTCTGTTCCTATTGCTTGCTTTGCCTTAGCAAATTTTGCTTAAATCAGTGCTCACTGGTAGATTTCAATAAGTTTCCCCCAGCAGTGGGTGTAAATACATGTGTTAGTGTTGAAGTATGCAGCCTCATTAGATATGCACAGTGCTTCAATTGAAACAGAAATTAGTTGAACTTCAATAAGTCATCAAATCCTTTGATAAACAGTGTATAATAATATCACTAATTCTATATGCATATAATGGGAAAGCTATTTTTCTACAAAAAAAGAAGCTAAGGAGGTGTCATAAAGTTAGAAACCAAACTATTGCCGATATGCATACACAAGAACCATTAATGTCAGGAGGTGCTCAAGAACTTCACTACTATGGTTAAGCTTTCTGCAATTGTTTGGTTGTGTCTCTGTAATTATGTAGCCCTACCTAAGTTTGGCTGCTCTCAGTTTAGGTCCTGCCTGTAACTCCGCACTTTTGTTCCTACTGCTTGCTATGACATGCCCTAGGAAATTTTGCTTAGATCATCGCTCACAATTAGATTTCTGCAAGATTCCCTCAGCAGTTTTCTCATTTAGATATCCATGGGTGTAAATACCTGTCTTAATGAGAGAAGAATGCATCCTCTTTGCAGCAGCTCATTAGAATATGGACGGTGCTTCAATCCAGACATGGCCTGGTTGGTCTTCCATATGCATTGAATAGAATTAATTAGAGACTTACAATGTATATAATATCACATATGCTGTATGTACATAATGGGAAAAGCTCATGCTTTCCTACAAAAAGAAACCAAGGAGGTGATCATTTTTTTTACAGGGTAAATAATTTTATTAATAATGAGAAATCTCCCATATACAAGCACCATATCAAAAAATAGATAAATCTACAACATAATGTGATTCTCTACGGACGACACACTATCTTCCTTTACAAACTGAAATTTCATGGATGCACCAAAAAGAAGCTAAGAATGAGAGGATCACTCTTCAAATGTAGTCGTCCTCCTAACCTTTTCAAAGACCTCCTCTCTTCTTCCACAAGATCCACATGAGTGCTAAGCAAAGGAGGTGGTCATAAAGTGAGAAACCACATTGTTGCCGACATACATATTCAACAATCAATTACCGGGACGTAACAGCCGAGAAGATTCACTGCTACTGGGGGTGCAGTGCGGTACTTTCTTACTCCATCCCTTCTATACCATGCCTAGGTCTTTTCCTTTTGATTGTTGTGTTTGCTGCAGCAGAGAAAGCAATCATTGGATGCATATGATCTCAAGCAGTTAATCATTATCATCATATCTGCATGACGACATCTTCCATCACCAAGGTCACGCTTGGCACCATCTATTTAGTGCAGATGAATGTGCACGGTGCTAGGACCCTCTGCTTCTTTAGCTGTTTTAATTTGAGGCTGTGAAAATTATAAGCGTTTCCATGTCCCAGAAACGGAAATTTTTGCTGCCATCTTGCAAAGCAGCGTATTATAGCAATCTCTGCTGCAATTCAGGTAGTAGTTTATGACCCACCGAAGTTATGTCTCCTGAAAGAAGATATCAAAATCAGTCTCATAATAAGAAGCCAAAGATTCTTGTGCCTTTTTCTATTGCTTATTCCTTTATTTCTTTTTCTTTCTTTTCTTTTCCTTTTCCATCTCGGCTAAGAATGGCCTCCCTAGACAACGGACTACTGTTATACAAGGGCTTTCAGAGTCGTATATAAGAGAATGTTCACCTGCTCCTAAGGTCAAGATAACAGTTTCATGATCGGGATCCTTGGATATCTGATCAACCAGCATTTCCAGCACTTGTATCTGGTATGTTTACACCATAAAAAGGGGGAAATTAGAAGAAAGGTTAACTTAACCAAGATGAACCATAAGCTGCCACTGACCATTCAAGCTGACTAGTCCAGTACTGTAATGGGAGTCACTCTTAAAACATTGGCAATAAATATTGGTTATCATGAAGAGAATTTTCCATTTATTAATTAGACCAAAGAGAATTTTGAAGGGGAGCCTTGGAGCAATGGTAAAATTGTCTCCGTGTGACCTATAGGTCACGGGTTCGAGCTGTAGAAGCAGCCAGTAATGCATGCATTTGAGTAGGCAGTCTACATCACACCCCTAGGATGCGGCCATTCCCCGGTCCCTGCATGAATGCAGGATATTTTGTTCATCGGGCTGTCCTTTTTTAAAGTAGGCTGAGTACTTACTGGAAGACTGACTTGTTCTCATATCCAAATAATTAGTGACTACAAGGAAAGGACAACAAAAGTTTTGAGGTAACTACAACATTTACAACCGTGAGGAAGTTTTCTTAGTTGCAGAGAGTTCCGTACCAGGGTAGGGATAAACTCAGATGGTGGGCCAACTATAGACATTGCAAGATCCCTTCCATTGATCTTCCAAAGATTTCTTTCTCTAGCTGCATAAATCTAGCAGCAGAAACAAAAATTATATCTCCTTTGCCAAGAGAAAAGGAAAGGGGAATATAGAAACATTATCACTTAAGTAGCTTTACAACTCAAAGTGGGATTATACCTCAGTAATCACAACCCTATTCGCATTAGTGAATGCAGTAGCAAAGTCATCTTTCAATGCTGCTAGGCGACTGCAGATTATGAAAATTTCAAGCATTGTGCAATCAATGTAATTGTAATCTGGAAGGAGAATACTTTCAGGTACATACCTGTAAGTATGAGGCTGAAATATTACTATAAGTTCTTGAAATGGAAATATCTGGCGTGCTGCCTGAAGAACGGCTTGAATTTCGGTGGGATGGTGAGCGTAGTCATCATAAATATGGCACCCGCGTACAGTACCAATCTTCTCGAAACGTCTGGAAACACCTTTAAATGTTTGCATGTGAAGCTGCAAAGAAGCCATGGAACTAAGAAATTGTTTCTGATCCGCAAAAAGAGCATGGATAGTTGCAATGACCTGCAGGTTGGAACGTCCACAGCAGCAACAGAACACATCAAACATTGTCTTCACTTGGAGTGGACGAACGAAAGAATTTGCACGCTAAAACATGTTTTCTTCTAATACATATGCCTAAACTATGAGATAATCTTGAGCAGCCAACAAATTATTCTCCATTTTGGGGCCCATCTAAGTTCAAATTAAATCAAAATTGATTAGCTGTACTGGCTTTGTTTATAGCCAAAAGTATTTGAGTAAAGTTCATCAAATAAAATAAAAAGAAAAGAAGGAAAACAGTTCTGCAACTTTTAAATGTCGACTTACTCTAAAAAAATAAAAAGATAAAAAGTTTACTTACTGCTAATGAATTAAGAACATTGTGGACTCCAGGAATCTGTAGGCTGATGTCCGCAATATGATGTCGCTTGTGAAACTGAATAATGAAATTAGATCTTTAAGCAACAATCCATGCACAAATATATGAGGTATTCCATATGCCAGTAACTTCAAATAACTACAGGGGGTAGGTATAAAAAGAAGACAGCAAAAACTTTATTCTCCATGCCGTTATACTTTTGTATTTATCTGCAAGAATATTGTGCAACGTACAAAAGTTGTAAGGCTTCAACTTCATCAACAGATATAAAGTTAAATTGAAAATTAAACCATAAAACAAATTTTATGCAGAAGACCAAGAATCTATTTGTTTGGTAATATTCATGTTAATATATAGACTTTTAAGTTTTAACCTACATGCAAATCTGAATCGCCTAAAATCAAATCGAGAAAGTATAATTGCTCTTTCAGTTGATGTGACAGCGCTGCAAAATTCAAGACACAGTCTAATTTTCTATGACTGAGATTCTTTAATATATTTGATCTAAAAGTTCCAGTTCACAACTGGCAATATTTCTATATAGTTTCTAAATATACAATATCTTTTCAAAATTTAAGGGAGCATTTGGTATGACAGAAAACATTTCTTTCCCCTTCCAGGAAATGACTTATTTTCTGGTTTTTCTGGAAAATGTTTTCTGGTGTTTGGTGTTTGGTTGGAGAGTAGAAAATTTAACTCTTCAATCCTACTTTATTGTACTCCAAATTGCATAGTTTTTTCGGTATGGAGGGAGCAAGAAAGGAGCTTATTTCCCTAATGTTCACTTTATTTTGTGAGGTGATGCATTCTGTCATAACCTTTTGAAGAACCAGAAACAAAATCAGGAATTGTTTTGAATTGGACTCTCCAGTTAATTTCAGAGAGAATAATCTACAGATTTGTAGACCATAGAGGAAGAGAGAAGTTACGATATGCACTTTATGTTAAGCTTCTGAAAATTGTTCTTTCACTTTCTTGAAAAGTGAATTTATGGATCATGCAGCATAGAGTTGCCAACTCAAGTACAAAGCAGGAGTAGAATACGCGAAGCATTTTCACCTCCTTAGTCATAAGCTATCCACAAGTTCCCTGTATGTTATTGTCAAATGATACTTCGAAAACTTATGAATGTATTTCAGTTTTACATGAAACTATGTTTCATCTCTGGACGTGATAAAGGAATCAACTCTAGAATCTGACAACAAAATTAGAGATGAGCGAAAATGGCCTAAAACGAGTGCTTCTGGAAGGGCAGAGCTAAGAACAAATGTACTCACCAGCTTATAGTCACTACCTCCACAACAGTTTGGGGATATTGATAAGGGATGCCAATCGTTACAACTAGAAATTCCGTAAGTTGAAATCTGGAATGCATCATTCCGAAGAATTGAACTAGGATCAGAGTCTGAGTCCATTTTGTTGACCAAAGAGCATGCACCTAGACTGTAATCACTCAATCGGGAAAGTATTATTGGCAACTACATTAGACATGGAAATTCAATATTTCCTTCTTTAGCCTCAGAATTAGATCAATTTGCACGTTCTATACCTAAAGATAATAGAAGCCACCAAATAATAGTTCATAAAAAATATATGAAAACCTTCAGTAATAGAACGATCAATGTATAAGAGGAAAAACATAATGAGTTCA